CTATTGAAACAGTGCCTGAAATACTTAAAAGGAATCGTATATAAAAATATGTCAAAAAGTGAAAAGTCGTAATAAATCGCTGCTACACGTGTGCCCATGCGTTACTGTTAGTCTCGTAAAAAGCTAAACTTGTTTTCTTGTCTATCACAGCACTAACATCCGTAGAAAGTGTTGCAATCTTGTGTGAATGTTAAATATACCCAACACGTGGTGTTACAATGGTGCGAATGTGTTATGGATCGGTGAAAACTAGATAACAGCTTTTCTTAAACTTTCGCGCCATGGAAAGTCATTCGCGTTACACTGTTAATTATGTGGATAAGAGAATCGAAACATTTTTGTTGTTGTATTGTGAAATCGAAATTGTCTGAACTGAATTGTTCAGTTCAATAAAGCTAGCCTCAATGATCGAATGGTCTTAGGTCTTAAACTGTCAAACACCAAGCGGTCACCGGTGACCGCAACCTATTGTTCTATAATTGTGTCTACAAAACCGGTACTCGACGAGTTAAGATGTAAATGCTAATAATTTATTAATAGGCCAACAAACGAGCAAAACTATCAACTGATGGTATTTTTTAAGGGGGGAAAATCATCGAATGACTTCTCCCACCTGGGTGAGGCGAGGGGGAGTGTCAGACTCTTACTGACTAAAAACCACCCCGTTCCTACTCCTGCACTTCGAGAGCCTCGGTAACCAGTTCTGCGCGGCTCCATTACCTGATGGTTAGCACCGCCATTAGCCACTCGCTACACCAGAGAAATTACAAGTACTTCGCTTTGAGAATAGGCTAACCCCTGCATATTGTATTTCAAACAATTATTTCAAAATGAATAAAAATACTTTATTCGCAATCGTCACAAAGTTTTTCCATTAGCTTAAGTACCAAGCGGGGGAGCGACAAATTAAAATTTTCCCGATTCTATTAGTTTCAGGGTATCTTTTTCTTCCTGAGCAATTTTTGCTTTCAAAATTGCATTTTGCTTATCACGAATTGCCTTCCGTTTAGCTTCTTCTACGCGCCATTTTGCTTCTTTAGCCGAGTATTTTCTTTGTTTCCTCATCCCGTACATAATTCCAAGAAAAAGTAAGGCATACCGAGCAGCCCTTATCAGTGGAGACACAGGGTATGGAGGACCATACGGTAATTTCTCCATTAAACTTTTTGATTATAATATATTACAATTATTTTTCTTTACATTCAAAACACTATTCATAAATTCTTCCTTGACAATTAATTTGACATCCGTCATTATTTTCCTTTTTAATTTTTGCAAGACCAAAAAGGTTATTCACCTGATTTTTTATTGTTAAACTAACAATGAATCGCTGCATTGTTTGAGACATCCCTGTCCAGTACTAGGTCAAGTGCAAATTCCAACGAAATTATTATTTGTTTTTTCATGGGAATAACATTTGTATCAGTTGGAGGCCAGTGGCCGAATGGGTTGCTAAGAATACCGCTTGTCTCTGGTGTGGCGACCACCAATTATAGCAGACTGGCGTGACGCCAGCGGTCGGCAGCGTCGCGTGGTCAACAGGAACAAACGTTTATCGATTGAGATCAATCACTATACAGACTGTCTTCCTGTGTAATGATATAGTTTACAAACTGCCGTTAAGGCGTATTTTTATCCGTTTTTATAAGGAGTATCTTGAGACTCTACGTCCCAAACGAAAGGCAAAATATTCCCAACGATTACATAGTCTTTAGTTTTTTAACAATTAATAGGAAGTATCTAACATTGCCGCTAATGGCATTGTAGTACACTTAGTAACGACTCAGAATAAACGCTTACAATGGCTCTATTGTTTTTAGAACGATCTAGGTATGTTGATAGTAATGAAACCTTTCGTAACTGTAAAATAATGTTAAATCTTGAAATTAGCGCCGAAAAAAAAAACCATATCAATCTAAGTACTTTCTTCTTATTTTTTAGCTGCTTGTGCATTCTCAATGTACTTGGACGTGACTTATATATGTGAGTTTCTAGCATTTGTAGCTCCCCTACTAACAGTAAGAGTGATTGTGACGAGGATAAACAAAGTCCATAATTTAATTGTAATAGATAAAATTTCGTCATAAGTAAAATTGTGGTAGTAAGGGCTAAAGATCATTGATTTAAGTTTAAGAATATATTTAGTCAATAAAGCACGACTATTTCCATTCAAAACGAATAAATATGGTCTTCTTTGCTCGCTACTAAACTAAATTAGTTCACCATATAATTATATAATCAATCAATATCAACGTGGTTATCGCCAATAAATTAATTTATTGGTCATAGAATAAAAGACCTCGAAACAATCTTTGATGATATTTTAACAACGTGATGTTGAATGTTTTAGCAATGCGCCGACGCATGGTTTAATAACAAAACACAATTCCTTTCTATTTTTAAGCGTGACTTTTAAGACCTTAACCCTAAAATAAATATCTCTAAGCATATCTGTTTATGAACATACCTATAAGTAAGTACCTACCTACATTCTAAAGTTATTGCAAGATCTTCAAATGACAGTTTCGTGACTCTAATACAAAATATTAAGTCAATGTTTGGCTTTGAAATCTTATTTTGGTCTATTGATAAACTAATTCAGAGCATGAATCATTTTAATGTAATTAAACAAGCATGACCACATTGATGCGATGACGGTATTTTTATCGATATTATTATGTAATGTAATCTATATGACAATAAATATGAACTATATTAAGTGTGGGAGAGCCATGCTTCGGCACGAATAGGCCGGCTCGACCGGAGTGATACCACGGCCTCATAGAAAACTGACGTGAAGCAACGATTGCGTTGTTTCGTCGTGTGAGTGAGGTTACCGTTACGCCGATTGCTTACCATCAGGTGATCCGTCAGCTCGTTTACCGGCTTATGCCATAAAAAAAAACTATCCTAAATAGTATAGCTTTATCAAACTAGCTTATGTTTTAATTTAAATTTATTAAACCTGTAACTAAGTACCTACTTACTGCGTATATTAGGTTAAATACATAAATTAATAATTCAAGATGTACCGGTTTTTAATGACAAAAAAACAAGTGTGTCTTGATTGTAATTGTTGTTCTTGTTTATTTGGTTCACCGTCTAATTGCGTCGTAAAAAATAAAGTTTGTATATATTGTGGTATGGGTGGACCCTTTAATATCTCAGACAAGATACTTATTAAAACTGAATATTAGTGCTATCAGGTGTCTATCAATGACGAATCCCTACTTATTTATATTCGATCCTACATACCGCAGTAAATATTTTTTCTATTAATTTTAATTAACTACCAAAGGTAATCTTAAGATGCTAAAAAGAATAAACACTTCTTGATACAAATAGTTGACAGAACTAATTTGCAACGATCGATGATGCCAGAGCAGGCGCCACTGGATTGTTTGCATAAACTGACCTTGATATTATCAGTGTCCAATTTAGTGTGTTGCATAACCAAAATAATACAAAACCTCGCAACCGGTTCACCATGTACATAATAATGCAGTTGCCACAAAGTAGAACTATAATTACAAAGGTCGCGAGTTCAATAACTAGTGGGATAGGCTTGGAGTGACGAGTACCTACATACATTGTGTGACGTAATCATTCCATTATAGTTGAGAATATATTTAGCGCAGTCGTCATGAAACAATTTTGTCGCATTAGTTGTGTACATCACACGATGTGTGTAATTGCAAATATCTGATAAGGTTTTGGTGCGATCAACATTTGTATTTGATAGTAAAAATGGGTCTTGAATGAGGTGTAGGTGAGTAGGTAAGCAAATGTGCGATTGTGTGATGCACCGCTTTATAACTAGCACTAACTACTCCTGGATGTACCTATGATAAACGATTTCCAGTACAATAGGGGCATCTTAAGTGTCATTGAATTTGATTGCTTAGGTAGATATGGGCTGGGTAGAAACGCTACAGTTAATTTGGCAACTACTGGCTAGCAAACATTTATATTTAAAATTTCAGAGTACATATAGGTATATTACACTTAAATGCCTATAAACCAATTTGCTATTCAAATGATACGCAAGATGACAGGACTTGAATTAATAGCTGTGCATTTTTACATAAAAAATATTTAAAACGCTAGGTCAAACTTTCTTCAGCCTACGAATATTAGTAGAACAATCATTTTAAGATATAACAAAATACAACTTGAAGTCAAACATTCATTTTATTCTTGCACATACTACGATTTCATTAATCAATATTGTATTAACCCCAGTATGAAACCACATGCGATGGTCAAATAACGAGGGTGGCATTTAAATATCTGTGTTTATGTTAAAAAAAACATGAAAAGGCATCGCTTTCTAAAGTGTTTTTACTTAACCATTCACTTAGGTTCTACATATCGCTGCTATAACTTTAAATAATCTAATTACAGTGAGGTTTAAATACTGACTTTACTTTTTGTTATTCTGTTTAGCGGTCTGATAAGAAACCGGTATCGAATCGAAAAGTTTTATTTTCTCCTTCCATCACTCCCTTCCCTATGACCACACTTGACTATTTTCTATCTCTTTTAGACCTCAACAACGAGTGCTTACTAATTGCATATATCCATCTCGTTCTAACTTAAACTTCTTTAGTGTAAAATTGTCATTGGAAGAGGGCGCTTGTGACGTTAGCTGTTTGTAACATTGTTACTGAAAAGTTTTAATTTGTATCTTTAATGTAAGAAAACACTATATTTTATTATATCAACAGTGTCATTTTAAGAAATTGAACTTTTGTTTAAATATCTACCTGTGTACAGTGCTAAAAATGTCGTCATTCAATTAATTTGTGGGTGTGGTGAACGCCGAAAGTGTCTTGTCAAATATTGATGTTTTATTTTTAATTTCACTATTTGATTATGTTTCTTACGTAACTTAATTGATAGTAATGGTCAGGGTTACTGTACAGTGCAGTATTTGTTCGAAAAGTAACCTAAATAAGTGTGAAACATTGTTTAGTAAAAGAAGTGTTTCGGTGTTTTAGAAATCGTCATCGACGAAAACTACGACGATGACGACGCCTGCGACTCTGTACGGACGAGACCTGTCCACCTACGACGAGGTGGACGTCGACGAGCTGCTAGCCAAGCTGTCGCAGGAAGAACTCACCATGCTGGCCAAGGAGGTTGATCCAGATGTAAGTACTCTTTGCAATTCACTCCGATAAACCCATACAAATTCGCGAAACCCTGTCAGTTTCCCTTATACAATAATATATAGTCCCTTACATTCAGATAATATCTCATGAAACACAAAACCATGATTCATTGCCTAACAAAGATGGTAAGACAAAGTTAAAATCTAATCAGAAAAGTCATTAACCTCAAGCAACAAAATAAACATAGACTAGACTTGTCATAACAAGGCCTAGATTCTCCCCTGTGTTGATTTCCTCATATTTAGCACTACATAAATGAAACTGAAGTGTGTAGGTATGTTTGTCATGTAATATTTCCTACCCACATTCTCACAGCTCACATCATCAAGCCAACCAATTGATTATGAAGGCCATATGATATGAGATGTTGGATAATGCTGCTAACATTCACACAATTACATGGCTCATTGTTAAACCATAGACTTCTCACAGTTCACCTTGGAGGTTTTATCAAAAGTGTTTGCCTTGAAAATTATATTATGGCTACAAGCAATGGAATGCTTTTTAATCTATTTTATATTGACAAACTAGTACTTAACACTGTTGATATTTAGTTTATACACCATACTTTCACTAAAACATTAACTGATAAATTTAATTCGAAAACATACATTAAAATGTAATAATGTTTACCATACCCATCACATAATGTACCACATAATGGTTGAATTAACCCACATAGGATCATAGAAACCATTTACCAAGTAATTAATGACACAAAAAATATAATAGTACTATTATTTTACATAGATACCAGTTGGTCTTGCTTCGGTGTACTTTTAAAATTAATTTGAATATGTAAATTAAGTTTTTAAATTATAACCAACCAGATATTGTGCTATATCTGTAACTAATTTGTATGCTTTTCTATTTTTATTGTTTTATATTGTCCGGCAGTTTGTATGCCAATTAGAACTGGACTATAATTGCTGTTCATTTAGTTCGTCTTCATGTGTAGTAACTCTGCAAATCTTAAGCTTAGTAGACTGATAATAACCAGGTAATAAAGTATACATTTAATTATCATAGACAAGTATCCCGTAGTTCCCACTATTAGTGGGTATTTTGAAACGAAAGCCTTAATATATTTGATCCAGGATTTAGACTTGGGGTCACATTCAGCATTCAGTAAACATTCGAAGTTTTGTTTATAACAAAGATCAAGATTTTTATTCCTTTAAATAACATAAATTAATGTCGTAATATATTATCATATCTTTTTTAACTAAAGATCAACTGCCAAAATGAGTTCATGAGACTTGTATCCACAACAACTTAATCCAGTAACTAATTACAAAGTGACTGTACATTATTTTTGGTTTATACTGTAACAAAGCGACATTATTAAATAGTGATTAACCTACAGGAGTTATCTCTAACAAAATATGGCGACATTCCTATCAGAAAATTGATAAATAAATATCACTAAATAGCTATTTACCTGTCCAATGAATAGTGGCCATGAATCATTATTTAATATAGAATTAAAATGGGTGCAGTTATTATTCTCTGATTATTTTTATCCTGTATTGGAAAATAATGAAGCTTATCTTGTTATTGTATGAAAAATAATAGATAATACCTTTGTATTTAATAGTTAAGTATGTGTTACCTTGGCAATATTCATAAAAATGGGTCTTATTGTTATTGTATATTGCAAATTACAATTTAATTGTCATTTATAATGGATTTGCAGCAAAATGATACTCAATCATGTGTATTGTTTTTATCATGGTTTATAAAATGAACAATCTTACAATAGCCTCCTTATTAACAGATGTTGTATAAATATCTTGCCACTGATGGCAAACCTAGTTAGTTATTAAACTTGTCATTAAGTTATGGGTACGCAAATGCAGTGATCCTTAATATACTATGTTAGACGCACAAAGGTAATAAGACAAATACATTATAAGGTTATTAATTAATCAAATGTCAATTCAATAAGTGGATGCTGCTACCTCCTCTCTGTAGCTAATTACACTCCAGAGTAAACCGTACATAACTATGTAGATCCACTTTCCTTACAATGGTTTTTTCTCCATGTAAGAAGAGACCTAGCGATGGAACATTTAGCTATTACACTTATAAATATGTTTGCTTAACATATTAAAACATCATGGGAGTATCCCGTTGCATTGTTAGTGGAGGATATGCCTTCAATAATTTTCTATAGAAAATCAAAAACTTAATATTGTAACCATATGCTTTCCAGGACAACTTCCTGCCACCATCACAACGTAACAACTATGACTGCGAGAAGGACCCCACAGGGCCCCTGAACCGCAAGAAGCTGATAGAACACATAAACAAACAAGCACTGGAGACACCAGACCGGCCGGAGATCAAGCCTTATGTTGCTGGTGTTGTACGAGGAAAGAAGGTTAGTACCAATTACAGTATATTTTATATCATTGCTTAAATAATTGAACACTTATAATGTTGACATGTTTAAATATTAAAAAACCTAATGATGAATATCTTAATATAGAAAATAATTAATAATACATGTATTTTCCTACAGTTTTATAAATATCCTTGGCTTCTATTTACATTGCTTGATAATGCACCTGTAATATTGCCACAACATTAACTGGGACAGATTATTATTATTACATTAAATATATTAATTTATTCTATGACTCATATCATACTGTTGATAGGCGATACCTACAAAACACACGTAGTTAGTCCTCATAGAATCGAAGGTTTGTTTATAAACTGATAAGTGTGTAATCACTGGACTAATTATTTATTATGAGCACATTCTTTAATGATAACTACTGTCGTACTGTCGCCCGCTTTTCATGCATGAGGGTGCGGTTTCGAAACCTACCAACAGCAAGTACCAATGTGACTTTTTCCGAGTTATATGTACTATCTAAGATTACTGTCTAAGATTATACGCAATGAGCAAGCGTGGTGATTAATGCTCAAACCTTCTCCGTGTGAGAAGAGGCTTTGCTCAGCAGTGGGCACTTATGAGCTGTTGATGATGATAATGAACTACTGTCTGCTTTTGTAAATTCCTTTTATTAGCTAAACTTATACAGTGTTAATTATATTACTGTGCAATTCTAGACCCTTATTTGTACTTAAGGACTTAATACAACATGTCAACAATAATTGTGGCTACAATTTTTTATATGTATATGATTTCAGTTTCTATAGTCGAACTAGGCATTGCCTTTAATTCGACTACAGGCAAGCAAAGGCAAATAAAAGCAAATAAAAGTACTCTTTAGGTTCAATGTTATTTATTTCGCCACCATTTAGGTATGATGTTCGGCACTCATAATGTTGCATCAATTGACTTACTGCTTGGAGTAACCTTGAACCAACGAGTCAGTAGTCTTAACGAGAACTTGTTTTCTAGTTTAGCGTGAACAGTGAATATGTAAAACAACAATCTTACCTTTCTTGCATTCAAATATATAGCAGCATCAATACAGTATATTCTGAATAATTTTTGTTCCCATTTCCAGTGGATCCCGCCCCCAGCGCCCGAGAAGGTACGCGACGCGGAGGAACAGATCTCCATCGACCTCGGAGACGAGTACGAGCAGGCCCTCACAGATGCCTCACAAGAGGAGATCATTGACCTGGCTGGTATGTCTTTTATATTTCCTCTATTTTTATAAATAGTGACTTGCGCAAAATATTTGTGATGCGCAAACATGTGTTAAAGTTAGCGCAAGTATAATGATAAATTTGACGGTGTTTATTTGTTTATTTTGTGCAATTTTAGCTAACATGTTCTAGTTACCTCAGCATGTTGATAATTCTGCTATGTTAATAGCCATCTTTCTTCTTTATTCTGTAAGCATTAAGGTTGATTTTCAAATTCATACCTACTGTAATGATATCCGTGTACTGCATAGCTCATAGATACCCAATGCTGCAATACTGTTTTGAATAAGATATACGTCAATAGTGATCCATTCTAATATTGTTAGACAATATACAGAGCTTATTGTAAAGAATTTTGGCAAGAGTGTAGATGTTTGCTCAACTAACCCAGTACCACATATCGTAATAATCCATTGTAGCTTCGAAATACCTAGCTAGACAACTGACACGGTTACCATCAGAATAAACGAGGCCTTACGACACATCTTATTATTTATGATGACTGAAATCAGGAAATTTTCTCTTGTAACGACAATAGGCACCGTCATATTACCCTGGCGACCGTCCAGCTTTGTCTCGAGTTCATTGCAACGCGAACAATATCCGAAGTCTTAAAGATTATGTAGTCTTTGTCTATAAAACATCTTTAGCTTTGTATGATAATTACATAATATAATTGGTTCTAGAGAAATGGCTCGTCTCTGGAATTTAATGAAAGAATTATGTATTGAGTTTCTTTGTAAAATGCATTTTGTGATTCATTTGTTTGGTTCAAAATTTCGATGTTTAAATACGACGTTGACGTATGTTGTCAGTGACAGGAATATGTATTGTTGTGGTCACTTGTAAAAGAAAATTAATGGTTTTCAAAAAAATGAAATGCATTCTCGCTTATTTTGTATCGAGTTACGTAATGACATTCCCACTTTATTTGTCATTCTGGGTTTAATTTTTTTATTTACATTTATGCAATAACCTTTCTTAAAACAATCTTTATTTTTTTACTGAATCAAATAATTCACATCAAATCATCACAATTTTAGATATATTGTACGATATAGTATATTAAGCAAGAATTATGACATTCCAGCTATCCTCGGCTTCCACTCGATGATGAACCAGGATCAGTACCACGCGTCTCTGCTGAACAAGGGACAACCTGTCGGCCTCGGCTGGGACGGTATCACCAAAGCCACCAAACCCAAGGTAACAAAATAACAAGATTTACTAAATAAAGTATTATGGTATAGAGAACAGAAAAATTATAACCAATCTTGCATTCTGAACTACTTAATCTGATCCTAGACTTTATAATTTGTCGCGGAGAACCTAACGGGTTACCGGGGCTCCGGCTCGAGTAGGAACGGGCTGGTTTTTAGTCAGTAAGAGTCTGATACTAAGGGGGGATAAGTCATTTGATGATTTTCCCCCCTTAAAAAAAAGACTATAATTTGCACTTAAATATTCTCCAGTTTACTTTCAACTCAACTAACGCAACTCCATATGGAGTTAAAATATCTAATAACATACAAAAAATATACCGGATATCTGATATTACATTAATAAAACGTTTAAGTAACTCAAGTCCTAGAAAGCTTAATCCTGCTCCCTCCCACATCCTCAATCTTGAATACCCTATAGTTCAAAAGGTTGGCCAACGCATTTGTAACTCCTCTGGAGTTGCGGGTAGTCTAGGCGCCGATTGCTTAAAAATCCAGTGTTAATGTATTGTATATGGCAATTGCAGGTGTACCCCATGGACCCTCCCAACGACACGGACCCCGACGAGACCATCAAGCGGGTGCAACAGAATGACCAGAAGCTCACTGATCTCAATTGGAATAATATTAAGGTGGGCCTTACAATCTTAAGTGCTAATTTATATCTATGAGGGTCAGTACAGTTTATCTAGAGTGGTTTTTTATTCATTTTGATTTAGTATAGAGATGTTTCTCGTTGTAACTTTGAAATGTTTCCCTCGTTTCTCATTACTTTATTGACGAGAAGGAAGATGAATTATCACATGTTGTATCTTGTGTGCAGAACATAAGCGAGGAGAAGTTCGAGAAGTTGTTCGAGGGCCTGAAGAGTAACACGTCGCTGGAGGTGTTGTCGCTGGTGAACGTGGGGCTGTCGGACCGCGGCGCGGCGCAGCTGGCGGGCGCGCTGCGCGTCAACTCGGCGCTGCGCGTCGTCAACGTGGAGACCAACTTCATCTCGCCGCCCGCGCTGCTGCAGCTCGTCCGCGCGCTGCTCGACACGCACGCCGTCGAGGAGTTCCGCGCCTCCAACCAGGTACACCTACCGGTCACAAGCCGACTTTACGTTTAGCGCAACTTCAGATTAATTTGCGCAAGTGACTGCAAATTAGCGCTAGCAATGGTAATTATTAAAAGGATAGATAAATTGTGCGGGACAGTTAATTTTAATGCACAAAAGGCTCGAATGTTATTTAAACAATATGAATGCGCAACATTTTCACTACTGTTATTTTAATAAAACCCAAATCTTCCCAACCAGAGATGAAAATTACAACGTAACATAACATTATGCCTTTTATCCCCGAAGGGGTAGGTAGAGATGTACATTACGGCACTTAATGCCACTGTACAATGTAACACCCACTTTTCACTATTTATTTATTTATTTTATTTATTTATTTATTTATTTATTTATTAGGTTAACCAACAGTTATTTACACTCATACATTCATTACATCATAACAAATAATACTTTGGTAAGTGTAACAACTACTTACTGGCTAACACAGCATGCACATAAAACGGTTAGAATAAGTTACATTAAAAAAAATTATAACATTCGAACACGATCAAGCAACATAACATAAAAGTTGCGATCGATTAATTCAATTAATTATGGGATTAAATTTATGTTATAAGTCTAATGAGATAATTATATCCATTTAATCCTAATAATAAGTAAATATCACCAATAGTTTTTATAGTAACCATTATTTAAGGCATTGGCTGCCAATAAAAAACTGTTGAAGGCAAATCCTCCGCTAATGTCGGTCACCAGTGACTGCCATGGCGTTTAACGTGTTAATTGTAATGTTCCAGCGGTCGCAAGTGTTGGGTAACAAGATAGAGATGGAGATAACGTCTCTGGTGGAGCAGAACCCAACGTTACTGAGACTCGGACTCCACCTCGAGTACAGCGACGCCCGACACAGGATCGCCAGCCATCTGCAGAGGAACATCGACAGAAGTGAGTTCCATACACTATATGATCACTTACTATACGTATACTTGGTTATGTCGTCGAAACTTACATTCATATACTCGCTATATTCAAAAATATCTCGTATCAGATAGATAGAAATAGGTATTTGATATGAAAATGATGTGTCCTACTAAATGCGTAAAGAATAATCAGTTGCGCAAATGTTTTCTGCAGTAGACTTGTGAATGCTACTGAGAAAAGGAACTGAACATAGATAATAATGAGCGTTACGTGTATATGTGCAAGTTAAATGACGAAATAATCGAGTATCTGTATAGTAAGTTATCCATGATTAATGCAAAGACGATTGCACCAACAAATATATTATGTCAAAGACTCCTTTCGACAGTACCTCATTGAAAAACTTGAAATTTTAATCGTCTCCGTACCTCTATTTAGCTAAATATTTACTTTAACAACGATATATGCTCATCTCTATGTCAAACGATGAATATTTAACAGTTTTATTACAGGTTATTTATATACTGATGTATTATATATACATTCAAATATTATACTCATTTATATGTTCAAACATGTCACTGGCTACGATCACGAATGCCATAACTAGCATACAACTCTCACTCGTATGTCTGCACGTTAAAGCTCACTGTGGCGTGCAAGAAGCGGCAAGTAACACGAATCATACGATACTCTCATACTGTCATTTCGAAATATACAGACATATGCAAATATTTATAAGATTATTATTATTTGATTGGATTGGTTTTCATTCGATAAAAAGTAGATCTACTTTTATCTAGTTGTCCAATCTCCTCGTATAGGCTAAATCACAAAATAATAATGGTCTTGTACAAATGGTTGCAATTTGTCTGGACTATGTATTGATGCACAATGTCTAATGATGATAGTTACATGGTATAGCGCGAGCCGACGCCTGCGCATACTCGCGTAAACATTGATACGTTTCGTTACCCTTCATAGATACGTCGATAGTTGATATACTACGTGGTCTAAGCGCACAGTTAGAATAAAAAAATCAACCAAACCATAATATATTTGTTCTATGGTGACTATAACTGGGTACATAGGTAACGGTTAGTTGTATTTCGTTAAGTTCTCGCTGAAACGATATTGAAACCAATTAACTGTTCTATATAATAATTGTTAATTAGATTAAGTGCGGACACGTAGCGGTCAACTTCGACATTAACAAGTCTACATATGCACGTATGGCGCATTTTGCGACATCTGCCCATCCTTAGCTTTATTAACCGCCGATATATGGAGACTACGTCACAAAGAACATTCTGTATATAATATACAATATATGCTTGTGTCTAATGAGAGTCTGGGATACAGCGGCCAGAACACTATCTGTAGTGTTTTCAAACAATAATAATTCTAAGACAATCATTTTGTGTTAACTGACATATAAGTAGCAGATCAACTAAAACGTGATGCACCGCCATGAAGATCAGTATCGTACGTGAATAAACTAACATGTCGTACTCGTCACAATTCGATTACCCGCTGGACACAAGCTACGTCGATAATTTGGAATCGATTCTCGCGCTCAGATTGTCGAGTGCTAAAGAAAGCGAGCGCGTCCCTGAGTGCGCGTCGTCCGCGCGGTCCGCCGCCCGCCGTCGGCATCGACTCCAGCTTCTTCAACATGACGCCGCCCAGCGCCGAGGCACTCACTCCCACCACCGAGGAACCCAAGCCCGTCATCTCCGAGACTGTCGAGACCTCCCTAACTGTCAAGACCAAGGCGCAGCCCGACGACAGACCCACCTCCATCACTATTGGCGATGGAAAATTGGAACCAGAAACGCCTGTCACGAATGCACAACCTGTTGAACCGGTTACGACTGAAACTGTAGCACCTACCGATAATGTACAACCGGTGCCTAGTGAAGACCGCCTCGCAGGCGAGCCAGTACCCGCGGCCCCTGAAGGCCCGGCGGAAGACAGCTCAGATAAGCTCAGCGTCCCACCGGCGGAGGAAGTGGATCGCTTCGTGAAGGCGAGCCCGCCTGACGTTAACCCCAACCCCCACTCGTGAGTAGCCGCGACTCAATGCAACTCACAACACACGCGTGCCCCCCCCCCCACTCTATTTTTGTAGATTTTACACCAAACAGTGTTTATGTGAATTCGAACAATATTCATTTCATAGCAAATTTACTTACGGAAGGGAGGAACACCATAATATCTGACGTGCATAGATGTGCTTGGCTCAGAAGTCTACGAACGACTGCGTTTATAGAACAGCCTCCCATGTCTATGTGCCCTCAGATTAGCCTGTCTTCTGTATCCATAAAAGTTGCATGTCTGTGTCATCAGACATACATAATGAATGTTTATGTTTTTGTTCTATACGTAATAATGAAGTCCATCACGTATCATTTCCATGGTTCACAAAGATGTAAAATTGTTCTAATTCACATGTGCGACAAACAGAAGACACATGTATGCGACAGTAGTTGAGAAATATGTTGTTCCATTCCAGTACGGAAAGACCTAACGCTGCGACTTCAGTTCAGATTCTTTAACCAACTGGCAAAGGGCGCGCGTAGCCAATAGGCAGGAGGTCAGGCCCACGGTACATTGTTGGCACGGCATTAACAACACTACGCTTTGGTTACAGCTTCTATTTACTACGCGCCTGTTGAGTGACACTTACACACGTACACCTCGTGCAGTTTTATACGACACACACTCTCTTATTAAGATAAATCTTTCACTATGCCAAAGTAATAAAAAAAGTACTGAAAATTTATAGTAAAATGCGATAAAACATGGCTTCCATAAATACATATAATGGAATCCAAGAGTGGTTTATAACTCAGATATTGTAATATTTTTGTTAATATCTGAATAATTGATACAAGTTTTGTAAAACTGCACTATACCTAGTCGAATATGACATTGATGACGCCCAATAATGTCATTAATGCCGTATTTATAGACTTAACAATCTGAAAACTCTTTATAACTTGATAAATAATACTGTCTACTTTATTTTCTTTTAAACTATTTCCTTTAAAATCTCGAAGATAAAACAAAACTAATATATTTGATGTGTTTTCTATGACAAACTTTAACAGTTAACAATTTAATTTCTAGCAGTGAGGGGAACGTAGAACAGACCGATAATATATAGAAATGGCCGCATAAAATTGGTAAAATGTCATCTGTTTTGGCGCGAATGTAAATGGCCAATACGATAGTGCCGTGCTGTTTTTCGGGAAATAACGGTTTTTACAGCGCAAAGGCTTAAGCTAATCAGGATTTTATCGCTTAGTGAGCCTGCGTCGAGCTATGGGGTCCCAGCTGCGACAGGATAGTCATAAACGTTTGTTTACACCTATTAACTAGAACCATAAACAAAAAGAAATATTTTCCTGAACTCAATGACTCGCATGGTTGTGACTACTAACTTACTGTTTGCGGAATGTACAAAATACTAAAACTCATGAACAAGACTATGATGAGCATGGATATGAATTTCCTACTGTGTTATTGTGTTATGAAGTTGATTGAAACGATTGATTGTTAATACATGTTTATCCTTTGTTATGATTTATTTCTAAATGAACCTCACGATTACCGATGTTCGCTATATGAAGATGACCGCTCGAGTGGGCTATAAATACCTTGTATTACTGTTTTGAGTACAAGACTCCTTGATCTGGTACAAATGGGTTCGCATTTAGATTTGTTATTGTGGATATTACTGATTACAAATTTCTTGGAGAACAAATATTGTCATTCGCTTCCAGTATTTAGAAACAGAATTGAAAATAAGTATGTAGTTTGCTATACTTAAATAAAAATATTAAAATAAATTTTAATGTAAACAAAAATGTCCCTTGAGTCAGTGAAGATAATGATCAAAATAGCGAGCATCGGTGATTTAAATGTATGTGTATATATAAATGTGTGACACGTGTCGGTGTGTATGCATTACAGTACGCCAGCAGCGACGGAGCCAGAACAGCGCTTAGAGCCTTGAACTGTCGCACGCGGTAAGTTCCAACTATTACTCAACATAATAAACACGTAATCTAGAGGCATTTCCAATTACATCTTCATTAGAAATATCAAAATTACGTCTTTCTTTACATCCTAATTTGTATAATTTTCTTTTACATGACTATCAAATGCTTACGAGTCTTTACTTCTTTGAAAAGTTGTTAATTCTTCAAGTCAGTAATGCTTTGTAATATACCTCTGCTTTCCCAGCTTTTAATGTGAGATACTTTAAGTATAATAAAATGTTTTGCTTTTAAAACCTTATAACACTGACCAATAGTGGTGAAAAATATATGGTACCTTATTGTTGGTAAATCTCAGTCAGATTCAATCTTTAAGAACACATTTTTGAGAAAATAATATCTGGACTGCCATGACTACCAAGTCAGAAATTACTAAAATTACTTTTTTATAATGGCGTCTTGCAGGCGATCATGGGTATGCATAAACGACCTTGAATACCTGGATACCATTTTAGCTTAAAGGACAGTAAAATTTCTTACTACTTTTTTGTTGTTTTACCTGTGATTACAAATATTTCTAGACAAATCTTTGGACCAGATAATGGAAGGTTTGTTAAATGTCTTTGATATGTTAAAAATACCGTTGTGCGCATTTTGCAAGCACATGTTTTCATTGTTACCCTATGCATGATTGCATTATTCCATGCATATCACACCCAGTCGTTGTAATCCCATAGTCCTTACTTTCTATACTAATATATAAAGTTCCCAAAGGTTAAATTATAAATATAAATCTAATATATATTTCTATTAATATTAATGTTTTATGAATAATTTTACTTTTAAATTCTATCATATTGTTACAAAAATATTTAGATATGTTTTTCTATAAATACACGAATATTTTTGAATAATTACACATTATTCATTTACTTATCTTCTGTACATAATAACATCCAATTTAGTTTTCACTTTTCTTATACATTGTACATTTATTTATTGTTGTATACCGTCGCGTAAAACTCACGTGTCTCGGCTTTTTGCACTTGTGTACTCAAACAAAAGTTAAAGGTTTTTATTTTAAGTCAGTTATTGCGATGGTAATATTTTATAGACCTTACGTTGGAAATCAGAAGAATATCTTGTAATAATGATTCAAAATAATACTAAATAAACTATATATTAATCACGGGTAAACTAAGAAAAAATAACCAGCTATAAACTGCTAACAACAACGATTAGATTAAGACTGATATTTTTATTTTTACTTTTTTTAACCCAGGTCAACATTACCATAGGAGTTCAAAATATATAATTCTATCATGGTGTATGTATGTTGCAGGCGGTCGCATCAGACGCCTGACCCAGTTCACCCGCAGCCGCAGCTACGTGGTGGGCTGGATCCCGTGACGCGCCGCCCGGCTCGTGTCGCACTCCCGCGCATCGCACGCCCCACCACACGGACTTTGTGATTGAGTATTTTGGACACACTACACGCATTACAATATGCCCCTTTGTACATAAATCTTCAATACTGAACAATTTCAATCTTCAAATGACTGCATCCGTACAAATCCATTAAGGTTCGACCACGAGTAGCGGCACGAATGCCTTCGACGCGTGTGTATTTTGTATGTCGGTAGTCCTTTAAGATTAAAATTGTTGAGTTTCGAAGATTTTGATAGCCTTGTGTACGAAGGGACTTAAAGTCCATCATGTCTTTATGTAGTTAGTTCTGTTTTCAGCAGCTAAATATATTTTGTAATAGATTTTCGACTTTAATACAAAATTTGTAAATTGAATATCTGTTGTAGAAACTTAACAGATTGAGGTTAACTAGCGTTTGTACTTTGAAGATAGAACATGTCTGTCTTTATAGACGATGTCTTTTTTGAGTATATTCGCGTTGTTACTTCATACTGTAATTAATTAATAAAGCAATTTCCTGATTATCTTCTAGCTGCTAAACGTCATGGAGTATACTGTAGCTTACGCTTGGATAGATCCACAATTTCGCGAATACAACTGACTTTTACTTCATAGTTTTAAATAAGACGAGGTGCTTAGATGTTAAACGTGAATATTATGTATTTACTTGTAACTTTAAGTAATACCTTCAAAGTTACAAGTAACGTAATATTAATACTAAGGTAAGGTACTCAAAATACGCAATCACAATAAAAATGTACGGCCAGATTAATTTGGTACATCTGTAGAAGAATGTTGTGTGCTAACAAGAATTGATATTTTATTATCTTATTCTATATATTATACAAGGTTTATGAAATACAGAAACATCACTAGCGCGATGGCCGGCCCATCACTAGTACCTCTTATATTTATGATAAAATCACAATTCTTGTACTGAAGTGTGAACGATGGACGTTTTATTATTAATTCTTACTATAGTGTGCTAATGAATTCGTATTAATTTTATTATGATATTAAATTGTAATATATTTTATAGATGTGCACATTCCATTAATGCGAAACATGCTTCTCTTATTGACGCTTTTTAGTGTTTAACAAAGTTATGTTAAATTTTAATAAGTAATACAACATTATTTAATTATTGTTGAGGTAGCTGTGCAGTAGTTAAAGCTAGTACTACTCTGCAGACATCAGCTAATGCTGCTGATCTATCTCGATAAAGCCACACGTAACTTGTGGCAGTTTTAAGTTCCTTCATATATTATATTTTTGACAATTTTAATATATTTTTTGACTAATGAAATTAAACTTTATTATAATTGAGTATCAGCTCAAAGTTGAATAACAAAAATGACTGATTAATTGTGACTTGCCAACATTTTGATTGTAATAATGTTAGACAAACAAGGAAGTGATATAGAGAAGCCATGTTCTGCGTCAATGGAGCGTAATTTTAAATATTTCAATAAAGCACTAGGTTTGTTCGCAGTGTCTTAGACTTTCGATATATGCCTTCGATGGAATTTTGTAATTTTGGTATTCGATAGTATTCTAGCTAACGCCTAGCGACGTACTGAGGCTTTTGATATTATGAGGAATAGCTTTTATAACGTAACCTTTTGCTTTCTTGAAACAAAAAAAAAAAATGCTTAAAAATGTAACTTTATGTATATTTAGTGAATCTACTGGGGAACTAAGTGTCCATAACATTGTGATACAGACATCATATTTTCCATTAAAAATCAACTTCGATTTTTTTTCGTCTGTTAGTTTCAATAAGAGAGATTATTTGTATATGATTTTAGATTTTTAAAATGTAATATTCTTTTAATGTGACGATTTATAAAGAAAAATTAAATTAATATAAATCATAATTTAATTGTAATGTTAGTTTTATTTATGTTGATATATTACGGTTCAGGAGCATTTTGATCCAACGAAATACCTTGACTAGTAGAGTCGCAGTGCTGTAGTTTGTGACAACTGTAAAAAATATTAATAAAGTACATAAACAATATTCAGTGTTTTATTCAGAAACGAATTTATGATACCTTCCAGTTGTGGTGTAGCTCCGCTCGAATACGTAAAGGATTTGATAAGGTCTGTGTAAAATAAAAAAAAAATAACAATATGAGTCCTTTTTTATTTGATGGGCCACGTTTGACCTCTGTCTCGCCTGGTGGTAAGCGATGATGCGGCCTTCGATGGAGCACGGCGTCGTCCCATAAACAATTTATTCACTCTGGCCTTGAAGACACCCAGGTACCCTTCAGGAAATAATACAGACTCTGGCAAAGAATTCCACTCCTTAGCAGTACGCATAAAGAAGCTTAATGCGAAGCGCTTTGTGCGTGTGGGTGGGACATCTACCATGAATCAGTGACTCTTCGACGATTGTCTTGTGATACGATGATGGAAAGGACTAGGGGGAATCAAGTCGTGCAATTCCCTCACACACTCGCCCAAATGTATCCGGTACAACGAAAGGCTTGCAACTATACACATGTGCTCGAAGTTTACATACTATTAGAAAAGACATATTTTGTTGTTATAGGGACAAGGTGAATGTGACCTTGGGCTGGAATGGTCCCAATTAAGATCTCAAACCTAGATCTTGACGATCACTAATAATTTTCACTTTCACCCTAAAAATGCTTTATCCTGCAATATCTCTAAATTGAACTAAAGTACGACTGGGTTTTAAAAAAAAATCTTATTGGAAGCTCGGAGCCTGGAATTGTGCCCTGCAGGCGGCAATAGGTTCACCCCCTACTACATGGGACTCACAACATAAATAGTAAAAAGTGGATGTTACATTGTACAGTGGCATTAAGTGCCGTAATGTGCAGCTATGCCTACCCCTTGTTGCCGAGAACCTAACGGGTAACCGGGGCTCCGGCTCGACGTGCAGGAGAAGGAACGGGGTGGGTTTTAGTCAGTAAGAGTCTGACACTCCCTCCCGCCTCACCCAGGCGGGAGCAGGCATTCGCTGATTTTCCCCCCATAAAAAAAAGTATGTAAGTACTAATATGTATTTTTGGTGAATTCATCTCCTGTCTGTCGGTAATAGGCACAAAGCTACTTTCGTATCCAGTGGGAATGTTGGGATATAAATAAAACTACTGTCAGTTCACACAAAGCTTTATTTTTGATCCGACAGATATGTTTCGATAACAGTTTTGCAAAAAAAGCTACGAGTACGTACGTACACGTAGGTATCATTTAAAAGAAGTAACAGAAAATTAAAATAAGGGAGACAACAGCAAGTACCTACTTACTGTAGTTTTAACAATGATAACAATTTGTTTATGTATCCACGATATTTTCCAATCAATGTGTTTAACGTTTCCGTTACGAAACTTAAACAGAACGATGTAGCCGCCATTGTTTTATTTTTGCTAAAAAGAAAACAATGTGATTGAGCAATATTGAGCGGTCTCAAGGCTTGTTGAATTTTTAATTTTATTTATAAATTCTAATAATAGTATAAATAGTTAAGCATAGTTATTGTCAATTTGGAAGACAAAGCGTGTCAAATTGATAATACTTACATATTATAATAATAAACACACAATAATTAAATTGTTGGTTATTTTCCATAGACTTCGTAATCTAAGTATAGTCAAACAAAAATAGATGAATAAAAAATAAATAAAAAACAAAAATCACTCGAAAAAAATATATTTAAAAAAACAACACAAAATCTAACAAAACGTAATAATAAGTGACAACATGAAAATTGGACATAATTATTATAAACCAAACATTTACAAAGGAACACTTACTTATGACGTTAGGTATCTGTTTAATATACATATAATTGCAAAACATTACATCGATCGCTACAGTGAAGAAGAACATACAGGGTGCAACGGAACGCTAACAAAAAACGCCATGCCGACAGGTGATGGTCAAAAATAAGTTTTACTTGAATAGAAGTAAGGAATTAAACATTTCTTTTATGTAATAATGTTGTAATCAACAGCTCAAGGCTGGGATTATAATTGTAAAAACAATTTCTATTTGTCAGCGTATCGGGAGCGTCCGTATAGTCTGTATGTATACAGTTGGACAAATAATATAATTTGTTTGTATAATTTAATCGTACGGCTAATTGATTTTGTTACTTGGTGGCCTTCAAACGTATAACTATAGTTACATATTATTTCAATATAATATAATTTATATAGTTTGTTTTGAAGCTATTATTGTCATCATTGGCTAGCCATGCGGCTATTAAGTACACCCTAGATCAAACTAGGCTCTAGAAACTTCTATATCTATCAACCAGGGATTTATAAATTGAAAAAGCTTAATTTAATTTGAACAGCAAAATGTCTAATTCGTGGAATGTGCATGTCATTATTAATTTCAAATATTAAAATATATCTACATGCGATTTTATATAATGGCACTAATTTTAAAACTGAATACAAAATGGTAGAATATCAAATAAAAATTACAATACTATGAAATGTAAGTACATCACCAATTATACAAAGAATGTTATCTACAAAATAGATAGATATTACAAGATTATTATTAAAGATAGGACATTTAGGCAACATTATCAATTCTAGGTATAACTGTCTACAAAACCAGTTAAAATATAAAAACTTGTAAAATATGTTTTTTTTTTTATTAATAATTTAAATTTTGGTGAATAATCTAAAAGAAATATATATCGACGTAACTCGCAAGGCCCGGTCGCACTAGGGCGGAACCGCAGCATTTATGACCGCGTAATTGGTGAAACAAGAAACTGAGTATAAGCGGTCACACTTGCGGTTTTGTCGCCGCGGTTCCACCTTGTTGCGGCCAGGACTTCAATAAGGTTGATTAAGTATACATATAGGCCTACAGTGAAATATTTCAAAATTAATTGACTTCTCGCCCTAAAATACCGACTCAAAAGGAGACTAAAGGTGCACCAAACGGCTGCCTCTTTATTATAATAGTAAATAGTAAAAATACACCAACTCCTATACTATCTAGCCAAGCTATACCAACAAGCTACTTCTTAAATATTAATTTATAGATGTTTTATCTCACGAGCGCGCATGCGCCATACTTGTGTGAGTATGTATATACACGCACATTGTCTTTGTTTGCGTACGCTCGGGAACGCCCAGTTTCGGCCGGCAGCCAATGAATGAGCTTGCTGCGAGGTACGCACACAAGTGCGCGTGTCTATACGCAATACAACTACAACTATGGCTCAACCGCGCGTGAGATAAAAGAACTAGCGTATTAAATTTTGACGCATCGCAGCAACTGACTAGCGTATGTGAAGTTAACACAAGTTAAAGATATTTTGTAACATGCAAAATTACTATAGGCAAACTTAGTTCAGAGGCCTTAGTACGAATTTGTTGTACGTTTATAGTAATCGTAACGAGACCGCGTTCGACGCTCTGATTAGTTGGTTTATTGGAGCCGGCCAATCCGAGCGCTGAACGCTGTCTCCGCCCTCAGAATATTTAATACTTTTAGTGATAAAAAAGCAATAATTGGTGAAAGAAATTGTTGAAAGTCATATAATTTGAGTGTTTAAAACACTTGTGGGTATAAAGTAGATAATAATTTTAGATACCACTAATTAAAACATCTACTTACGCACTACTGCAACATCGCTAATAATTCCAAAAAGCTACTTTCTAAATCCATGATTTCCGTACATTTTGGTCATGTGTATATAGGCAATCGTTGATAGGTCTTTTAACTTTATAATAATACAAGATTTTAAAAGGATATAATACAAAACAAACCTAACACCCATTGTCTTAGAGATTCCAACCGCAACTATTTATAAAACTAATAGAATAATGATTATTATTCATTAAATATAGCAATTCATAATACAATTTGATAGTTACAGGTGAAAAATAAAAGCAGGATAATCCAAAATATTAGTTTTATTTTAATACAAAATAACGAAGCTTCTCTATTTAAGCATTTATCGTGCGTAAGTACAAAGCGTATTAAGTATGCGTTGACGCACTTATGTTACAAAGCAAGAGTTGTTCGCGATATCATCTCATTATAGATGGCAGTGCAATCGCGGGGCCACAGTTTATAGTCTGTGGCCGTCAAAACCAAGGAATTAAGATTTATAATTCCAAGTAAGTTTATAAAATAACTAATTTTTATTATAATATCACTTCAAGAGAAGATGAAAAATTTTAGCAACCAATTTTTTTAATTATATAAGAATTTTTCCTAGGAAAAGTAACAATTTCATAAAAGTGACAAGAATTTCAAGACGTAAGCACAGATTACTTTTGAAACATGTCTTTTATTGTCTATTCTAAGCCTGACCTCCTTCCACCTCATTTATTCATTTATTTAATTAAAACATTATTGGGAATGTAAAATGCATCATAATGACTGAATTAATAATAATACAATATTTACACAACATTTAAATTATCGTTTTAAAATCGTTGTTTCCATAACGCGGGGAATAAAAAATGGATGGTCTTTACATTTAGTCTAATGTCTGATACAAATAATTAAATAGGATTTACAAAATAATAATTTAAATCATCGTGGTAGCTTTTTCATACATTTTATTACAAACACTTCAGTAAAAAAGTAAAATGATGGAGTTAGATAATATGTTATATTTCTTTATTAGTTTCTGCTTATCATGATGATGAAATTACTTGCAAAAGTGCTGTAATAAACTGTATAAAAAAAGGTATTGCTACTACTCTATTCAACACTTGTACTGTCATTACGAAAGAACCTTGAATTTCATTTATTTTGTCATATAATATTAATTATCTCTTAATGAGAAGCTTTTAGACATGCAATATGTATCATAATTACCATCTATAATTTTTAAAGGGATTAGGTATAATAAAAATACTCTTAATGACTTATTGTCAGTGCCACTGTGATAGGATTTAGCTAATTTTATGTTTATTATTTTGAATATATTTCTAAGCATGTTCAATCGTAATGGCATGCACAAGTGAACCTACTGAGTGCTTAGTGTGAGTGTATTTGACGTTAACGCGATTGCCGCGACGTTCATGACGTTGGGCGTTCTGATTGGTCAGCTCAAAGTAACCCACCAATCAGGAAGCTAACACGTTATCGTAAAAATATCTCGCACTTCGTACCCTGGTTTAAACGTTGTTGTCTAGTTTTTCGAGTGGCATCTCTCGTCGCCAGCTGAGCAGGTCATCTAGGAGAGCTTCTAAATGAGGGTTGCCGCCTAATCTGGCCACCTGGAATGTAACAAATGTATTAAATTCATAATCAATTTGAAATAAAGCCTACCTTTGCGTGATCTTTTTATAAATAAATAAATAAAAAAAAAATGTGAACACGATTCCGGATAGAACTTTAGGTCGTGGGTCAAATGTGTAAAGCACAATTTTATACATACATAAACACACTCAGAATACAGGAGAAAGTTCTAGCGTGGGGCAAAGTTCAATTAAGGCACAATATTTCATTTTCATAATTTGAAAATAAAAATGAGTGACATAAGTATGGTACCTCTCTCCTGGCCTCCTCGTCGAGTCCGTGCAATGTCTTCCGCGTGTATGCGAAGCTGCCGAGTCGCTCGAGTATAGTGATACAGTATCGCTTCACCTCCAGGTCACGAGTGCGCTGCCGAAGTATATCTAAGAAACTCTAAGGAATATTACTGGCTTGTTTTGATGCAAACATAATATTATTATTTTCCTTTATTTTTGAAATCCTCAAATCCCTAAGCCCAAAAGGTCGGAAACGCAACTTGTTCTCTTGGTACCTATCTCGTGGATAGGATGGACTGCATAGTTTGCGCAATGGCTGGGCTGCCGTGCAACGTGTCGAACGTATCGCGAGTTCAGATTCCCGCACGGAACAACGGTTTGAGAGATCTATAAATTATTGTTCCGGGTCTGGGTGTCATTGTGTATGTGAACTTGTATGTTTGTAAACGCACCCACGACACAGGAGAAAATCCTAGTGAGGGTCAAAGTTTTTCAAAAAAGTAAAAAAAAAAATAAAAATTAATAGGGCGGCAAAAAATATACTGATCAAGTGATCATCTAATGGTAAGTAGTTGGCACCACCCACAGACACTTGCAACACCAAATTTTAAGTAAGTTATTATAAAAATGTGCGTTTCTGACCTTCTGGGGGGAGTAGGAGGGTAATGGACGTCAAAAGTAATTCGATTATTTTCCAAAATTATACGTTTTGTATGATATGATAAATTTTATTGTAAAGGATACGAAGCACTTGGTTGTCCCCCTCAGGGTTGCGTATGGCGTGTATGATGGGGAAGCTGAACTTGCCCTCCGTCAGGTCCTCGCAGTAACTCTTGTTCTCCGTGTACTGAAACATTTTTGTTTATAACTTTTCTGGACACAAAATTAAAAACTATGGTACATAAGGCGGACTTAATTCCACATCATGGCATTCTCTACCAGCCAAACATTATAATAGTAATTTGTATCCATACTAGCTGATTCCTGTTTTATTCCATGGGAACATTTAATCGGGATAAAAAGTATCCTATCACCTAAGTCAGCCTCATACGCTGCCTGTATCCCAAATTTCATCAAAATCCGTTTAGTAGTTTCAGTGTGATTGACGGACAAACATACAAACAAAGAAAGTATCACATTTTTAAAAGGGGGTATTTTTTACTGCACCTCCTCTATTTAAAAATTTAAGCAAACCAAATTTCTCCACTAATTACCTACTGCATATCAAAAAAATTAACCGTAAAACAAAAATACTGATTTGCACATAAATTGTTGAATAGTAGGTTTTGTTTTTTTTTTTCATGACTAATATTATGCGTTAGGTTAGGTTAAGATTTTGTTGCACTCAAAGAATTATTAGATTTAGTTAAAAGATAGTCATTCAGTAAAACAGTTAAGCTTTAAAGATCTAACAGTATAGTATAATTGATTTATTTGATGAGTAAACTTAGTGTGT